GACGACAAGAAAAGGCTCATCGTGATAAAGTATTTTACGATACATAATTTTCTACTTATTTCGTTATGCACAACCCTAAATCTAACCGTTGCCTTAACCTCCACCCGAACCCTGGCCCTTAACCTTACCTTTACCCTTACCCTAACCGAAAGACACAAGCCTGGGGCTAAGCGTATATAAGGTGCGCTACCAACTTTACCTCTGGATTTTAGTGCATACTACTTCATCTATTGTCTCACATTGACGAAAAACAATAACACATCGTAAATATGGATGTTGCAAACGGTTATAATGGAAAATTAATCAAGTGAATACATCTAAAAATCAAAAGCCAACCCCAAGAACAGTATAAATACTTACAAGTAGCGCGTTGTCGTCCAGAGCACTTAAATGGAAAGCAGTTCTCTGTGCCACAACCGAATTATAATCGTCTAGGGAACCAATTAAACGGCAGCAAACATGCGCAATAGCGTTGACAATGAAGGGGTGCAAGGGAGCAAGAGCCCCTCGGTTTCCACCAACCCATCCATCTGTTGTGGTTGATTGTCCCGCGAGGACACTGTGACCGCCGCGGAAACCACCAACTTTGGCAGCCAGCCGTCCTGCTCTTGAGGAGGCTCCCGCTCCTGAACTTCCAATTGCGGAGGTAGTCGGTTGGCGACCAAAGGTAATTGTCTTGGAGGCGGGCCCGTTAAAAAAGCCTGAGAGAACCGACATGTCCAGCTGACGCAGTAGACAGAATATCTTCTCATAGGCATGAAACCGGCATTTCCAGTCAACGTCTGTGCACTCCTTCTCAGTTAGGTGTAAAAAAACTCCCAGCATTCCCGGGACAGTAAGCGACTGTAGTAAAAGCGGTAGAACCCAGCTTGCCAAGTGGGAGTGTTCGACTGTCAGCAAGTTCCACATCCTGAAATCAATAAATGAGATGAGAATGGTAAGCTGATTTTCTTTTATTTGTCGGTATGAGCGGGGTTGGGAAAATATGTGACAGAAATTAACCTTCTGAAAAAAAATTATACGATCCAGGCTATTCCCATTCATTCAACCAGATCGTCTCCATTTTCTGAGATAATCTACGTTATCATACGAGGAAGCGGGAGCTTGGAGAAATTTTGGCAAAAGTAGTGTACATACTGCCTAGGAAACTATAGATTTCCGTAAAATAAATAAACTTAGCTACGCCTACTAATATATATATATATATATATATATATAT